GAAAAGTCACCTCATGGCCCATGATGCGCTGCTTGCCCATGTGGCTGTTTCAAAGTGAAATTTTGGAGGAATCACAAAAGCTGCCTTGCATGAAAATGTTTGTGCAGCTGAGCAGACAGAATGCCCCACACTAAAATGAAACTTAGAAAACAATTAGTACAAGGTCTGGAGTATTTAATGTTTGGTCAACGGTTAGCAGCCTCAGGGAGATTCAGTGTAAGGCGGTGAGCTTGACTTTGAAGGATGAGGCCGTGTTGTGGCAGAGCACAGGGGATAATTGTGGCCTCGAACAAAGGGAAGACTGAGCAAAATAAAGAGGTTGCAGGATTGACATCGTGGTATGTTGGGTTAAGCCGCCACTTGCAGTGCCAGCCTTCTGTATTGAGCACCAGTAGGAATCCTGGCTGCACTGCTTCCTCTCTGGTTGCCTGCAGATACACCTGGGCAAGAGCAGGTGATGGCCCAAGTGCTTGGGCCCCTGTCGCCCTTGTAGGAGACCCAGGTGGAGTTCTGGCTCCTCGCTTGGCTTTGCTGACAACCAGCTGTTGGGGTGGGTACTTGGGGAGTGAGCCAGCAGATGGAAAACCTACTCGTGTGTCTGCTGTCAGAAAACAGAACCCTGGTTGTTACAGTAAGAGAAAAAGTTCAAATGATTTAGGATAATTCTGGTTGGAATTTACAGCTTTCACTGATTTTATGTTTAACAAGCTTGCTAAATATTCATTTTTTAGGTTTTTGTTTTGTTTCTACCTTTCCATCCATTCTTCCCTTAGAAAAATGAGCTGCGCTAATTAATTGCAATATATCAAAGAAAAGTGCTGGTAGACATCTTTGTCCCTGATTTAAAAGGGTATGCCTGTAACATTTTAATATTAGGAGTGATACTTTGGCTGGGCATTCTGGCACAGTTGGTCGAAGTGCTACTTGCAGTGCCAGCATATCCGTGGGTAGGTTCAGTCTTGCTTCCTATTACTGTGCCTGGGAGGCAGTGGGAGACGGCTCAAGTGCTGGAGCCCCTCCCCAACAGGGGAGCCGGAGTGGATTTCAGGCTCCTGGCTTGAGCCTGGCCAGGGCCTGACTGTTGCAGCCACTTGAGTCAGAAACCAACAGATTAGAGGTTTTTTGTTTTTGTTGTTAAGATTTATTTATTTTTATTGCAAAGTCAGATATGCAGAGAGGAGGAGAGACAGTGAGGAAGATCCTCCATCTGATGGTTCACTCCCCAAGTGACCGCAATGGTCAGTGCTGTGCCAGTCCGAAGCCAGGAGCCAGGAGCCTCTTGCTCCAATTCTCCTATGTGAGTGCAGGATTCCAAGGCTTTGGGCCGTCCTTGACTGCTTTCCCAGGCCACAAGCAGGGAGCTGGACGGGAAGTGGGGCAACTGGGATTAGAACCGGCGCAAATGTGGGATCCAGGCACATGCAAGGCAAAGACTTTAGCTGCTAGGCCACCGTGCCAGGCCTAGAGATTTTTCTGTTTCTCCTCTCAGTGTTACTCTGCCTTTCAAAAAGTAAATCTTTTTTCAAAAAATTGTACTTGGTTTTTGGCAATTTATCTCCTATTTCCAGTTTACCAGATATTGACCTTTATCAAATTTTCTGTCTACTGAAATGATCACGTTTTGCTTTAAAACCAAACAAAAAAAAATTGTTTATTTTTATTGGAAAGGCAGATTTACAGAGAGTAAGACACAGAAAGATCTTGCATCAACTGGTTTACTCCCCAAGTGGCCGAATCGGCCAGATCTGAGCTGATCCAAAGCCAGGAGCCAGGAGCTTCTTCTAGGTCTTCTATGCCAATGTAGGGTTCCTCGGTTTTGGGTTGTCCTGTGCTACTCTCCCAGGTCACAAGCAAGAAACTGCAGAAAGTGGAGCAGCCAGGGCACAAACTGGCATCCATATGAGATTCTGTGGCATGGAAAGCAAGGATTTAGCCACTGAGCCATTGCACGAGTCCCCAAAGCATGTTCTTCTCATCACCTTTGGCATGATCAAACAGCTTCTCTTCTGTGTAAATCTATTAATATGGTGAATGGTGGGGTTAATTTCCTAATAATGGTGATTTTGTCATCATAAATCATAAGATTTCCCATCCTTTGGGGTTCGGATTTGGGGATGGATAACTTTCTTCTTGACAGAGCTGACATGCTCCCCCAATACCTGTGAAAGCTGAGAGGCATTCCTGCCTGCTTACGTGGGCAGCAGGAAGCCAACCCTTCCGGGGCCTGCGATAGCAGGAAGCCGGAATTGGACACAGGACTCTGTCGGAGTACCTGGTGTAATAAGCTGTCTGAACTTGAAAACCTGAGCGATGTAGATTTCTCCAGACTAGCAGGCATGTTAGCTCAAACTGGCAGAGTAGTTCTTATGACTTGTTTACTGTCTTCCGGTTGATATTTGCCTTTTGTTTTGTTACCATCTAAAAGGATGGGCAGATCTGTTTTTGTCTTACATTAACAAAATAATAAAGCCACTCCATTAATTTATGGAAGAGTGGACCCCGAACTTCAAAATTAGTTATAATGGATCGTCCACTATCGACTTACTGTAGAAGCAGAGAGAGAAACACACAGATAATGCCCTCGACAGCTAACGTTGGGTGAGGCTGTTACCAGGAGCCGAGAACTCAGTGCAGGCCTCCTTTGGGCGGGTCTGCCCACCCCCTGCTGCCTCCCAAGGTCTGTGTTAGCAGGAAGCTGAGAGAGGGAGCGTAACCAGAACTTGAACCAAGCACTCCAGTGTGAGATGCCGACATTCCACTATGTTCAGCGCATTTAATTCTTGCTACCTTTGCCTGCCATAGTTTATTAGCTACACTTGACTGTTTTTGCTTTCTTCTATGCAACATTTGTGTTTTCAGTTTAATCAACATTTTATTTAAGCTCTTTCTTAAAGACTTGTTTTTAAGAAAAAATCAGGGCCTGGCACGGTGGCCTAGTTGCTAAAGTCTTTGCCTTGCATGTGCCTGGATCCCACATTTGCGCCGGTTCTAATCCCAACAGCTCCACTTCCCATCCAGCTTGTGGCCTGGGAAAGCAGTCGAGGATGGCCCAAAGCTTTGGGACCCTGCACCCGTGTGGGAGACCCGGAAGAAGTTCCTGGATCCTGGCTTCGGATCTGCATAGCATCGGCCGTTGTGCTCACTTGGGGAGTGAATCATCGGACGGAAGATCTTTCTCTGTCTCTCCTCTCTGTATATCCGCCTTTCCAATAAAAATAAAATAAATCTTTAAAAAAAAAATCAGTGGAAACTATATCTCATGGATTTTGAATCTGTTTTTGGCTACTTTCATCTCTTCAAAACTTTCTCATTAAATTCTTCTGTGACTCATAGATCACAAAAGGTTCTTGATTTTCATTTCTTCAGGGACACATTAATCATTCAGTAGCATGTTATTTAACTTCATGTTGTTGTAAATTTCTTCTTTCTGTTGTTGATTTTGTATTGTGGATTAAGAGGATGAACAGTAACTGTGTAATGGAGACGGTCATATCCAGATGTGAGGATACAGTGCAATATGCATTTCTGCTTCGAGACAAAGATGGACTCCCAATGAATCTTTTAACTCTATCTTGACGGTAAGATGCTGGGCTCTTTATTGTGCATGCCCACAATGATGGACATATGACTGTAGTAATAATACAAGGAATTCAGTAAGGAGAAAGGAATTTGGGGTGAGGGTAGGGAAAACCCCAGGGCCTATGTAAATGTATTACAAAATGATAGTAGTAATTATGAAAGTTTAAAAAAATCAGCTATAATATGCAGTGAAAGCTCATGTTGTAGACAGACATACAGGTCCGTCCGACAAGCCCACTGTTCAGTGTTTTCTTATTTAAACTCCTTCTTTTTTTAGTTTTAATATGCAGTGAAGACTTAGGTGTTATAGTTGAGCAGATAAATATGTACCCAACTAAACCTTGAATTCAATGAGATTTATGAAACTTAATTCTAATGCCGATATAGTTTGAATGAATGTTTTTTATCCCATTAAAATTCATACTGAAATCTAGTTTTCTGTGCAAAGCATTAGAGATATGACTGTTGGGAAGTAATTGCGTCGTGAATGTTGTGTCTTCGTGGTAGGTGAGAGCATAGCCTTTCTCCCTGCTGATGGGTGTGACACCAGGCTGTTACCGTGGGAGTGACCAGCAGCTCTCACCACAGTCTGCCTGGGTCCTGTACTCTGGTTTCTCTTTAGATCAAACAAGTATTTTACCTTTTACCAGACAATCTGCCCCAGTCTTGATCTTGAACTTGGAGCTGCCAGGTGATCACACAAGTTCCCTAATTTGAATGACTTGTTGCATATTTGGTATGCTTTTCTGTTGATTGCACAATAGGCATTTCAAAGTATATTCATGATTTCACAAATGTCATGTAGAGCAGCTTGGAGTAAGGGAAGGATAATATCACGATATGCTGGAATGTTCCAAGGTAGGATATTCCTCCATCCCACAAAATCAGACAAGGCACATTGCTTTCTTGAGTGGATGGATTTTATGGTTGAGAATCTGGAAGAGGCAGGGGAAGATCCCCACAGGCCTGTCTGTCCACTTGAGTCCTGACGATCTCCCTCTACTAGAAGCACCTGAGTGGTCCCTGCTGCCATCACCCACCAAATGTGTTGCTGTGTGACCGTCCAGGGGATGGTGGCCGCCTCAGCTCACCTACTGGGATCGTGCCCTTCCTGTTTGCATGATGCAGTGCTGCTTGATTTTATTTTAAATAAAGACTTGAAGCCCAAGTACTTAGGTCCCAAGCTGGCCATTTTTTTGAATGTGTATCCATACACACATGCTTATCAATGGTAAGAGCACAGAAGTGATCATTCTGAGTGTGTTCGCTTTTGAGATGCCTTCTCTTTCCTTTCTTCGAGGCTATTTGCTTCTTTCCAACCGTCCGCTGGTCTGAGGGGGGAGATTACAGCCGCGCCTCCGCTTGCTCCTTCTCTGTGTGTGTCCTTAACGTAGCTTTTGTTTTTTCACCACTTCTATAACTACTGTTTTCCTACAAATTATATTACAGCAAGTACCAAATGTGCATTTACAAAACACCCCTTGCTATTTATTAATTTCATAGAGGTCAAATTGAGACCCAGTCTCTAAATACAAGTCCAGTATTCTTCTCTTTCCTCTTTCGTGGCTGACCTCATCCCGGGCTCCTGCCTGGCCAGTGTCTGGGTTGGTGCAGGCTTCTCAGTGGCCCTAGCTGTGGGAGTTAGAGTGCTGTGGAAGGTCAGTGATGTGAGTGACCAGTGTGGAGCCTGTCTGCCTGATGGAATTGAATTGACGGGGGCAGAGCGTGCTGAAAGCAGAATGTCACATCAGTGTGGCTTGTCGTAAGTACACATGAACATAGCCCTTTATGTAAGTCTCAATTAAGGACAGGTGACGTAAAAGGCAGAATATTATTTATTCCGATAGGGATTTGGCGTTAGTTTAAAAAAAAGAGTGTCTCACAACCTTCCTGAATGAGTCCTGGTGTCATTGCTGCTGGGTTGCCCACTCTGGCTGTCTTCTGTCTTCCTTCACAGTCCTGTAAACACGCAGCCGGGCTGCTTTGAGTCTCTGCTCCCGAAGTCAACCATTTTCTTTGCATCTTTTGGCCTCAGTTGGGAAACGCTGTCTCTCGAGACCACACCTGCTGTGGCATGAATGGGCTGTTGATGCTTCTCCTTTTGAGAAAAACGTAAAATTTTGTGTTAATTAATGTGCCATCTTCAAACAAAACAATTTGGAATCTTTCTAATTCTCTCCTTTGTGTCCATTCTGCTACATGACTGGCTTTTGAAGAAATCCTCCCTTAAACTTCACCACGCACTTTGAGACTAGCTTCTCGAAACGGAAGAGTGGAGTAGGTACTCTCACTCCTCTGTTCTGGCTGTAAATTCTGTGACTCAAAGTCCTGAAATGAATTACCATTGCTAAAATAAATTTCTAACGATCACATTCCCTAAGCTTTGCGCGCAGGATTGAATAACACATCTTTAAAGCCTTGAAAAAGTTCTCAGCTGATAGAAATCTTACCACTCTCTGAAATGGCGGATGACTCCAAACGTTAGGTTTCGCTCTTACTGAAAGTCCTTGCTTTTCTCGACAGAGAGCCCCAAATTTTCATCTTAGAAATATGCTTCCACTTGAACAGTACTGTTTTGAGATCAAAACTAGAATATTGACACATTCTTCTTACAAAGAGAGTTTTGTTTCCTTTATCTTTCTTTAAAAACAAGGAGCCACGCCCCCCCTTTCTAGTAGTCAATTTCAAAATCCCTTTTTAACCTTGTAGGTCCAAGGTAGCCAAGGATGGCTGCAGCTTCCTATGATCAGTTGTTGAAGCAAGTAGAGGCCCTGAAGATGGAGAACTCAAACCTTCGCCAGGAGCTCGAGGATAATTCCAGTCATCTTTCCAAACTGGAGACTGAGGCATCCAACATGAAGGTATCACAGCTGTGGCTCTGGATGAGCGAGTTCCCCTTCGCACACTTGGGATGAGACTTCAGAGTGTGTTAGCTCAAGTAATGATGTGTCAGACTTTCTTGTAAAAATCAATCTGATTTTAATAAAGTGTATTGACTTTACCCACTGAATCATACAAAGAAAATACATGTGAAGCCCCAGTGACTAGTTCTTAGTTGGCTTAGAAGTGAAAGAGCAGCCTGCACAGCTCTGCAGTCAGGTCCGCGTGTGGGTCCAGGAGACCAGCTGCGTGATTTTGGAGATCTCAGATTTCAGGTAAACCGTCTCTTCCGCTTCCCTCAGATCTGGTTGCCACATAAAAGCTGCAGTGATCAGGAAAGTCGGTACCTGGTTCCTTCCTGGCTTTGCACAGACTTGGACCGCAGTTGTCCTACTTGGAAAATGCAGGCAGCACACTAGCCTTGGTTTCCACAGCACACACCCCCCCGCCCCCCTCCCGGGCCTAAACAGTGGAGCCAGATGGCAATGAGAAGCTGGTATCCTCCAGGAGAAACTGTCCAACACCCTGTATGTAGTGGGGAAACGTGTTCTAGTTTAACAATAATCAAAGCTAAAATGGAACCGTTGTAATCCCCAGCTTCTTAGCAGATTTTCTTCTCACTAAATTAAACCACTTTTTAGAATCAGAGGTCATCAACAAAATTATTACTTCCTCATTTTTTACAAAAATCCTTGCAGCTTTGTGTCTGTGCCTTGCTGTCTTTCCTAGCAGAGACCCTGTCTCTTCCTGTCTGCTCGCAGCCCTGCTGCTTCTGGTCTCCTGGTCCGTGCTTCTCTGTGCACCTCCAGGTCTCTCTCGCCCAGGCCTTTGGGCATCACTGGAGTAATCATCCCTGCCCCTTTCACCCTTATACTTAAAGGCCTCGTCGTTTCAGACCTTTTGTTTGCATGTTATATTCTTCTTTCCATCAGTCTTTTCCTCTCCTTCTGCTTTCTGTGGTCTGACTGTTCCTGGCAGTGCTCCAGGGCACTGCAAGTCCCTTTGGTGGTTGGTGGATTGGCCTCGAGCTGTGCTTCCTGACAGAGTCTGTATGAGTGACCTCAGCCTATCACGTTTAAAATAAAAGCCGCAGTCATGAGATTTTTAGAATTGGTCCACACAGCACATCTCTGATTACCTGGCATGTCTTTTTGAACACTCAGCGGTCGGGTGAAACTATTCTCCATCTCTTTCGCTGTGCTGTGTTCTGAAGAGGACAGGCCCATTTGGCTAGGAAGTGTCTGTTTTGTCGTGCAGGACCCAGCACTGGTTTCCAGTCTTCGTGTAGGTACTCAAACACGTCACACCCTCACTCTGGAGATGTATGTGGTTTACTCCAAGTCCATCTCCATGCCGCCATGGACTTAGAGTGACCGAGCCAGTCACATCATTAGATTGTACAGTGGACCATTTTATCCATGTGCTTAAAATGAGGGAGCTTCAGAATGCTTGTGGAAAATGAAATTCAAAAATGGGTGTTTCATTACAAAAGGTTTGAAATCCTTGCATATTAATCATATATATATGCATATATATATATATATATATATATATTCAAGGATGTACTTAAAAGTGATGGAAGTGTTGGATAAAGAAGGGCCAGGAGGGGCCAGCATCGCAGGGGCACGGGTGGAGACCCAGCCGCCCCACTTGATTGTGCTCCTACTAAAGGTAGCCCACCTTGCTTGGGCTCTTGCAGCCCCGGGGGTAACCCATAAGACACTCTGTTTCCAGCTAGCCAAGCTCCCACTGTCGTTGCATTGGGAGTGGCCAGCAGATAGAAGACCTCTCTGTCCAGGTTGCTCCCCTGTAACTCTGCCTTTCAAGTAAAGAGAGACAACTGTGGCATTTGAGAGCCTGACTATGAATTAAGTAATATTAAATACCAATTAATTAATATTAAATACTATTAAATACCAAATTGTTGTTTCTTTGGTGTTTTTATGGTCCTTTTTGTTTCAGAGAAGTGGATTTCAGATATACGATGTTTGTGGCTTGGACAAGTCTCTGGGTCTCAGTTGGTTTATCTGGAAAATGGGAGAAATTCACTGTATCTTATTGCTTGAAAGTAAGAGATAATAACTGTTCATTGCCCTGTATGGAAAGTTTGTAAAGTCATCGTTAATACAAACTACCACTGTGATTGTTATTGAGGGACGATAAGTTGTACATAAAGTGCTTTTCTGTCCAGCGCACCTGTGGTCATGTCTTAGAGCAGCTTCATCAGACTGTGTTTTTGTGTTTTTGTTTGTTTCTACAGGAAGTCCTTAAACAACTGCAAGGCAGTATTGAAGATGAGGCCATGGCTTCTCCTGGACAGGTTGATTTGTTAGAGCGTCTTAAAGGTAGATTTTAAAAGATACTTAACATACTTTGTCAAGATACTTTTCTAAGCTCAACCTGCCATTCATGTCACCTTATGTATTAAGCTATAGTGGTTAAAGTGAAAATATTTAGTGAAAGTCTGTTTTTCGATTCTTTGGTTAAACAGTCAGCTGACCACAGTCCCATGTGGGGAAGCAGTACCTTCTTCTGCCTAATTCTCACATGTAAATAAGCCCATGTGAATTCTATTGTCTTTCTTATTTTGCTACTTGAAATTCTGGGGCGACACCGGGGAAAGTGCTTCCCCGCCGCAGCTAAGCAGAGGTCGCTTGCGGGTCAGGGCAGCAATGTTGGGAGCATAGGCGAGAACCCCATCCCACAAGCCTTGTGAAGCTTGTGATCATTTTGTCTGGCCGGATCAGGCAACCAAAGGTGCAATTTGAAATTCAGTGAACCAGCAGCAGGCTAATTTTCAGGTTGATAATTTTGTATGCCTCATGAGTGTGATGTTACAAACATCCAACCTGCCTGGTGAGAAAAAAGGTTTGCCGTCTTAATCTCAGGAGTCCAAGGAAAGGCTTTTATGTTATGTTCTTCCAATCTTGTCCCTATTTTCCTCTGACCCAATCTGAACTTTTCAGGAAGTTTAGCCATTCTGATTCTAAATAATTGTCTATTCAGTCATGTACATTTGCAGCTAAAATATGAACAGTACAGTAACATCAGAAATAGTTGAGAGGGATCGGTGTTAAATAGAGTGGTAGGTTCTGCTGCCACGTGGGACCGACAGGCTAATCACAGTGTGAGGCAGGTCCCAGCAGCTCTGCGTCTGGTCCAGCTCCCTGCTGGTTTTCTGGGGAAGCAGCAGAAAACGGCCGAAGGCCTTGGACTTTGCTGTTCTGGTGAGACCCACGTGGAGTTCTGGGCAGCCTGGCTTCAGCCTGGCCCACGCCTGGCCCACGCCTGACCCTGAATACCTGGGTAGTAAATCAGTGGATGGAAGACATCTCTGTCCTGCTTCTCGTGTCCCTCAACTTTTCAAATAAATCCTATTTTTTAAATGATATATTGGAATTCTTAAAGCAATTGTTATATTAAATATTTGTATTTTATTTAGAACTTAATTTAGATTGTAGTAATTTCCCTGGAGTAAAACTACGATCAAAAATGTCGCTCCGATCTTACGGAAGCCGGGAAGGATCTGTATCCAGCCGCTCAGGAGAGTGCAGTCCTGTCCCCATGGGGTCTTTTCCAAGAAGAGGGTTTGTAAACGGAAGCAGAGAAAGTGCTGGATATCTGGAAGAGCTTGAAAAAGAAAGGTACCTTTTGTTCATTCTATATTCCAGTTTGTTGTTACTTTGTAAGACTACAAAATGCAAATGATTAGTAGATGATAGCTAGCGTGCATAGGGCAGTTTGTGTTTTGTACTGAGGTGCAGCCTGTTGCAGTGATTTCCATATCAGCCATTGCTTGGGGCCAGCGTAAGAGGCTAAGCTGCTGCTCCTGACACCAGCGTCCCATTTCAGCATGTCACCTCAAATCTCAGGTGCCCAGCTTCCAGCCTAACACTCTGCTAAAGTGCCTGGGCTCTTGCCAGCCAAGTGAGAGACTGAGGTGTGGCATTCAAGGCTTCTGTGCATGGGAGAGCTCAGTCTCTCTCTGTCACTATGCCTTTCAGATACATAAAGTAAATCTTTAAAAAAAAAAAAAGAACAAAACATTGCTTCCAATGAAACCAGTTCTGATTCTTCAAGCAAGTGTATTCAACTTTCTTATATGATGTTAATATTAGCTCGCTGCTAATAATAAGACCATGAGCAAGAACTCTGTCGCATATGTTGTACCCCCATAAATGATAGCATAAATGATGATTTCTTTTATTCCTGGAAGTTCATCATGTGAGTATCAGAGAACATACTGTGAGCAAGATGTTATGGTCTACTTCGGACAAAACCTGTATGGTCCAAATGTGTTCCTAGGCATGCTGCTGGCTAATGCTCTACGTGCCGGTCACAGTAGTTAAGTTGCTGTGTGTGGAGACAGCTCTGAATGCAGAAAAGATGTGTGGTGTCAAAACGAAAAAAGAATAGGAATTCTTGTGTAAAATGCAAAAAGTAGAGCTGCAAAGGATTGCGAGTTGCTAAAAGTCAGTGATTAGTGGTTTAATATAAGGCTGGATGCAGCTACGTTCCGTTTTTGACCCGACATGTGCTGTGTATAGTCACACATACTGTAAACCTGTCCACTGTGTGGTCATGCAGCACTGCTGACCTGTCCACTGTGTGGTCACGCAGCACTGCTGACCTGTACACTCTGTGGTCACGCAGCACTGCTGACCTGTACACTCTGTGGTCACGCAGCACTGCTGACCTGTCCACTGTGTGTGGTCATGCAGCACTGCTGACCTGTACACTGTGTGTGGTCACGCAGCACTGCTGACCTGTACACTGTGTGGTCACGCAGCACTGCTGACCTGTACACTGTGTGTGGTCACGCAGCACTGCTGACCTGTACACTCTATGGTCACACAGCACTGCTGACCTGTACACTGTGTGTGGTCACGCAGCACTGCTGACCTGTACACTGTGTGTGGTCACGCAGCACTGCTGACCTGTACACTGTGTGGTCACGCAGCACTGCTGACCTGTACACTGTGTGTGGTCACGCAGCACTGCTGACCTGTACACTGTGTGTGGTCACGCAGCACTGCTGACCTGTACACTCTGTGGTCACGCAGCACTGCTGACCTGTACACTGTGTGTGGTCACGCAGCACTGCTGACCTGTACACTGTGTGTGGTCACGCAGCACTGCTGACCTGTACACTCTGTGGTCACGCAGCACTGCTGACCTGTACACTGTGTGTGGTCACGCAGCACTGCTGACCTGTCCACTGTGTGTGGTCACGCAGCACTGCTGACCTGTCCACTGTGTGGTCACGCAGCACTGCTGACCTGTACACTGTGTGGTCACGCAGCACTGCTGACCTGTACACTCTGTGGTCACGCAGCACTGCTGACCTGTCCACTGTGTGTGGTCACGCAGCACTGCTGACCTGTACACTGTGTGGTCACGCAGCACTGCTGACCTGTACACTCTGTGGTCACGCAGCACTGCTGACCTGTCCACTGTGTGTGGTCACGCAGCACTGCTGACCTGTACACTCTGTGGTCACGCAGCACTGCTGACCTGTACACTCTGTGGTCACGCAGCACTGCTGACCTGTACACTCTGTGGTCACACATCAGTGCTGACCTGTACATTCTGTGGTCACACAGCACTGTAGACCTGTACACTCTGTGGTCACACATCACTGCTTACCTGTCCACTGTGTGGTCACGCAGCACTGCTGACCTGTCCACTGTGTGGTCACGCAGCACTGCTGACCTGTCCACTCTGTGGTCATGTATCACTGCTGACCTGTACACTGTGTGGTCACGCAGCACTATAGACCCATACATGCTGTACAGTTAGGTACATTAGACCCAGTTTTTTCCTAGTTCCAGAAGTAAATTAATTGTAGCTTTTCTACTTAAAACCTTTTTAGCATTTCGAATTGTAATGCTTAACTTACAATGGAAACACATTGTACAATTACAAAAATATTTTCTTCTTATTCTATTATGTACTTTTCTCCATGTTACATTTTTTTTTTAAATATTTTTGTTTATAAGGCAGAAACACACATATTAGCTGATATCTTCATGGAATCAAGATATCCTTGTCAGGCTTCCACATGCACGCTTTGTTCCACTGAAGGCCTTCCGAGGCAGTGCAGTGCGCTGAGCTGTCGCCTTCTCTTGCGATGGCACCCGCCCTCACACCTTCTGCAGTAGCTGCCCAAGGCTGGGTGGCAGCCACACTGTTCTCCTAAGTAGATGGGGTACTTTGCAGTGATGGAAAGTTTAGTATAGTCAACACGTCTGCTACTGGTACAATCAAGTATTGTTGTTGTCAGTATTACGTGCTGTACAACGTCGTGTGTTGGTAGAAGTGCTGCAGAGGTGTAAACCAGCATGGCCACACATCTGGTACTCTGCATTGGAGCCACCATGGTGACTGCAGTGTGTGTCCTGTCATCAATGACTGATTACCATTTGGCTCAAGACATTGGACTCGCCTTCTCCAGGCTGTCTCCAACCTGGTGATGATAACTTGTCCTTCATTCTCCTGTCCTCCAGCCACTCTGACATTGACCTGTCAGTTTGAGCTGATTTGTCAATTCTTAGTTCCTAATCCCATTTATTGGAGAATAATCATTGCAGAGTGATATCGCCATCCACCCCACCATTTTCCACTGTGGATCCTGCAGATTTCACTGGAGAAAGCCAAAAAGCAGGATGAGATCTTATCTTCATTCTGGCAGTCGGCTGCGAGCAGGTTCAGCCTTCTGGATTGTCTTCTGTTGGAATGACAGGAGAGACGAGGCGACCCCTCTGGTCCGCACCGCGTGGCCACACACAAGGCTTTCCTTCCTCCGTGTATTCCTCACTGTTGAGGTTGCTCAGGAAGGGAAAAGAACTTGAAGTAAGAAAACTACCTTCCATGCTCTCCAACCCATATTCATGTTACTAGTAGATTAGTTCCTCTTACCAAAAAAATACAAATAGAACTTTAATGTCAGAGTGGTGTTTCCGTGTGAGTAAACTCCAGGAGCCAAAATAAAAATTCCAGAGTGGGTGTTAGGCATAGTGTTTGTATTAGACTTCCTAGGTCACGTCACAACTCCATTTGCAATTCCATGTTCTGATCACATACGCACTTGGAAAGAGCAGGAGCTGGCTCAAGTGCGTGGGTCACTGCCACCCATCTGGAGGGCTGCAGGGGCCTGGTCCAACCTTGGCTTCTAGGAAATGAACAACAAATGAGAGATTTCTCTGTTTGCCCTGCTTCTCTCTTCCCTTTCATATAAGTAAATGGCTTTATAACAGTAATTTTCTACATGACAAAACACATACGATATGAACTAAGAAAATACATATACATCATAGCTGACAAAATATTGTTCTTAAATATTTACATCAGTGCAAGTGGCAGGAGCATAAACAAGAATTGACAGAGCTGTGGGATTTATCTTGTATGCATGGTAACATGTGAAGTGAGGTAGGGATAAGAATGTTCAATACAGCATTATTTACAATAGCAACAGATTAAGAAGACTTGAGTGCCTGGCACTGGAGAAGTGGTTGTAGTGTACCGCTTCGTGGATTATCTGTGGTGTTACGCAGCTAGGAAAGCAAGTGTGTAGTGCCTCTGTGTGTTCTGAGGGAGCAATCTCCAGCACAGGTTTTTATTTTTAAATAAAAGATAAGTACAGTGATGTGTTACTCTTTACACTGGCCAGTTGGCACATACACTCTCCATCTTAATAGAATATCTCTGAAAATATACCTAAGAAACCTCTAGCAGCAGTTCCTCAAAAGAAGGTGGACCACGTAGTTTTTGTACCTACCTAGTTTATCTCAGTGATCTGCCCTTGCTCTCATGCATGTAGTGACCAAGTAGAGTTCGTGTCTGGACATGGACATCGTCAGTTGGATTGCTCAGGAAATACATCACAAATTCATTTTCAAATCTCTTATTGCAAAATGAAAATATGTCACTGTGTCTGTTTTGACTATGAGAAGCTGAAAATCGTGTCAGTGTCTAAGGTACTGGTCTCCTGTGTTCTAGGATTCTTTTCTGGAATTATTGCCTCTTTATTGTCCTTTTCTTCTTGTAGTAATTTTGAGTTTTACTACATCCACCTTTTATTTACTGCCATGTTCTATATGTGAAAAATGCCTGTGGTTAGAAATGTAAGTATTCTTGTAAGGATGGTGACAACCTTTTAAGTAAAAATTGTAAAAAGCCTTTTAGTCACATGTTAGTGACTCTAATACACTGTCCTACTTTCAAAATCCAGATTCCTAAATTTCTTAAATTTGTTGCTGCTAGAGAACTTCACAGCAACCGCTGGTAGGAGTTGCTTTTATGCTGTCTGTATTAACATTATGTAAATTTATTTTATTTTTTAATAGATCATTACTTCTTGCTGATCTCGACAAGGAGGAAAAGGAAAAGGACTGGTATTATGCTCAACTGCAGAGCCTCACCAAGAGGATAGACAGCCTTCCTTTAACAGAAACTGTGAGTGACTTTTCACCTTTGGTAACTTGCTCTGTACAGTACTGAGGTTAGCTACTAAAACAAAACTCAGGATTGATTAACTTACAGTTATTTGTAAGTCTTGTGTGTTATCCAACTTTTAGGCAGTGTGCTCAGATCTAACCTCCTAAGTTGAGAATATTTAGTAATTTTGAATCCTTAAGGACTCAGGGTTTTCCTGGGCAAGCAGCTTACATATTCTTTGTTGCATTGCCTGTTACACTCTGGAGAAATATTTACCATGCCTATTTTGGGGATCAAATTACAGATAGCCTTTTCAGTGAAAATGTGAGGATAATTTGGGTCCTGTTCAGCCATAAGTGATGACAGCTGGAAGCATGGTCTTTTTGGGCAAAAACTAGTTTGTTTTGCAAATGGTACTTTTTTATGTCAAGAGATTGTGTCACTGTTCGTTTTCCCTCTCTGTCTCTCCATGCCAGTTTCCTTCACAGGCTTTTCTTGGGGCGCAGAAGAGTCCTTCCGAGATAGAGTAGCAACTGCCACCAACGCTGTATGCTTTTGAAGGGGGAAGTAGGCTAACTATAACTTCCTTCTTGGCTTAGCTTTTTCGTTTCCTGATAGCACTTGGGAAAATATGAGTCATAAAGAAAGCAGTGAAAAGAGAAGGAAGAACCTTTGGCAAGCAAGCAGCCAGCCAGGTGTGCTCGGTGGACCTCTGGCCCAAGGAGAGCCGGGCTGCATCCTCCCACTCCCGTGACAGCCAGTTGTCTAAAGGTTTCTCAGATCTCTTCCTGATGTGCTCATAATCTTCCTAGGAAGAAAGGAGATAGACAGGGGGAAGAGCTGTTGGAGAGTTTAGTGCTCAGAGGGAGGGGGCGGGATTTGGTTCTGTCATCCAAGTGCTGCTTCGCTCTTGTTGACTTTTGATAATGGGGAATCTGTAAATCCAGAGTCCAGCTGTGCGTGGACTCATTCAAGGGTTCCCGCCTGGACGGTCTGTCACTGACAAAATCAGTTCTCAGTATCCATTCCCAATGATTAAATGATTGTGTGTATTCAGCAGGATAGATAGGACATTATGATGAACAGTTGACAGCATGTTAACAAATTCAAACAGTTGTACCTTTTTTTTAGTTTGTAGATTTTGCTTTTTTACTGAGAAGCCACATTAGTGAACACTTCCATGTGGAGATAGTGAGCTGCAGTGGGTATCAAGCAAGTAGGGTGTCGTGTGAACACCGGATGTAGAGCAGATTGTTGAGTATGCCGTGTCGCATTGCACACTGTCGCTGGCAGGCGCGTTCCACACGTGCACTTAGAGCCATGCCAGTGCGTCAGCAGATATATCACGGATTGTCCCCTCTGTCACAGCCCAGGACCGGGCTGCTCACAGGAGAATGTTCTCTGGTGAACACAGCTGCGGTTCTGAACCAAAATGTTCTGACTCAGAAGTGTGTGCCATGTAGTTGGCAGTGGGCATGCCACGTGGCAGTGGGCATGTCACGTTAGAGGCTTCCACAGCACCCCTGCCCCTCCCATGACCTATTGAAACTTACCTGTCACACTGACTAGGCCTACTTCTTCTGGCCTTTATTACAGCTGTGTTTGTCAGTTTAATTACCTGGTCCTTTTTATCCTTTTGTAGATGTGCAGTTATCACAGACTGAGCCTAGTACATACAGTCAAGTTTTAGGGCTCCTTGAAGTGAAAATGGTTTTCTCATTGGTCATGGTTTACACATTTACCTGTCTATTTCTTTTATTGGTACTTATATGCCTTTTCGCTCTTACTGATAAACATACAAATCTAATGAAATAATAATATTTTTGTATTTAGTTTTCCTTACAAACAGATATGACCAGAAGGCAGCTGGAATATGAAGCAAGGCAACTCAGAGCTGCAATGGAAGAGCAGCTCGGCACTTGCCAGGACATGGAGAAGAGAGCACAGGTGAGCTGCCTGGTGGCAGCTGGGGGAGGGCTGAGGGAGGGATGGGGCAGGGACGGAGGAGGGCTGGGGGAGGGACGGGGCAGGGACGGGGGAGGAACGGGGCAGGGACGGGGGAGGGACGGCAGGAGGGCTGGGGGAAGGACGGGGGAGGGATGGAGAGGGCTGGGGCAGGGACGGGGGAGGGACGGCAGGAGGGCTGGGGGAGGGACGGCAGGAGGGCTGGGGGAGGGACAGGGCAGGGACAGGGGAGGGACGGCAGGAGGGATGGCAGCAGGGCTGGGGGAGGGCTGGGAGGAGGGCCGGGAGCCAGAGCTCTGTTCATGGAATTCACTTTCAGGGGTTTATTGACTGATCAATTTGAAAGTCAAAGTTACAGAGAAAGATCTTTGGTCTGGTAGCTCACTGCTCCAAATGGCAGCAACAGCCAGGGCTGGGCTGGGGTGAAGCCAGGAGCTGCTTCTGGGTCTCCCACATGGATCCAGGGCCGTCATCCTCCACTACTTTCCCAGGCCTTCAGCAGAAGTCAGAGAAGTGGAACAGTTGGGGATTAAAGCAGAGCCCAAGTGGGATGCCAGTATCAGTTGGTGTCTTTACCCCTAATTTTCTCCCCCCTCCCCCGATTTTCTTATTAAAGGTGATTGTGAGTCTGTCTTTACATTGACACTTTTTCAAAATAAGAATAATTTTCCTGTCTCCTCCATGTTAGTTTCCACTACTGCTGTCCTGTTTTTGATTTAAATAAATAAAGGCCAGAAAGAGTTTGATCCTGCTCTTTTAGTAACTGGTAGTTCTCCGTTGAGGTTTTTCCTCCATGTAACCCAAGTATGTATATGACGCTCAAATAGGTCACTGCTCTTCAGCTTTCGCACTGAAAGTGGAAGCCCTCTTTCCGGGATAGTAGGGAAGAAACATGAAGAAGTATGAGTAGAATTTCAATCCATTTTCCCCCCTCAGCTAATGTCAAGGAGGAGGTGAACTGGAGAGGATTCTGTGCGTCTGTTACAAGAGCACTCGGGCGTCTTGTGTTCCATCTCAGAGGACCTGTGTCCCAGTCCTGGCTCCGCTCCCAGGGTCATCTTCCCGAAGGTGATGGCTCAAGTGCTTGGAGGCACGGAGACTTGGGTGGAAGTCCTGGCTGTGCCTCCACTGCAGGCATCTGGAGGGAGAACTTAGGAGCTTCTGTCTTTGTCGTTTTCTCTGTTGTTTATGTTATGGTTGCTTGCCTAGAAAAGCGACGGCCCAAAGCCTTGGGACCCTGCACCCATGTGGGAGTCCTGGAAGAAGCTCCAGGCTCCTGGCTTTGGATCAGCTCAGCTCCAGCCGTTGCGGCCACTTAGGGAATTAACCAGCAGGTGGAATATCTTTCTGTGTCTCCTCCTCTCTGTAGATCTGACTTTCCAATAAAAATGAATAAATCTTTAAAAAATAAAGCAAAAAATGGAAATGAGTGAGGGAGGACATGTCTACAGTAACAGGACAGGGGGTTTGGCAGAGCAGTGAGGCACTGCTTGGGATTCCCCCATTCTATATGGGAGTGACTGCGCTCGTGCCTGGCTCTGCTTCAGTCCAGCCTTCATGCCAGTGCATGCCCAGTGAGGCAGCAGGTGGCTCAGGCACTCGGGTCCCCATTGCCCTGTCCTGGCTGCAGCTATTACAGGCATTTGGGGAGTGAACTATTCGATGGATGACTTCGCTCTGTCTCTATGTACCCTTACCGTTCAAATTAAAGAAAGAATGAGGGGGTCAGTTTTGTCAGGAGGCATGGTAAGACACTGTAGGGGATGTTTGTATCTCTGTAGGAGTGCCAGTTCAAGTCCTGACTCCTCTGCTTATTTTTTTTTTTTAAGATTTATTTATTTTGATTGGAAAGTCAGATCCACCAAGAGGAAAGACAAAGATCCTCCATCCACTGGTTCACTCCTGAAGTGGTTCCAGTGCCAGAGCTCAACTAATTCAGACCCAGGGGCTTCTTCCAGGTCTCCTGCGTGAGTGCAGGGTCCCAAGGCTTTGGGCCATCCTCAGCTGCTTTCCTAGGCCACAGTAGGGAACTGAATGGGAAGTGGAGCTGCCGGAATATGAACTGATGCCCCTATGGGATCCTGGGCGTTCAAGGCGAGGACTTTAGCCCTTAGGCCGCCACGGTGGGCCCTCCTCCACTTTTGATCTTAGTTTCTGCTAATGCGTCCTGGGAGGCAGTGGGAAAGGCTTGGGGCCCTACCATAGGAGCAGTAGACTCGCATGGAGTGCCAGGTGTTTGCTAGATCCTGGAAAGCGAAAGAGTAATGAGAGATCTGACCCTTTTCTGTTCTGTTCTGCCCTTCAAGTAGATGTAAGTAAACAAATCGATATTTGTAAGTATTAATAAATGTGTATATACCTAAAAAAGCCTACATAAAAATATAAAGTTATGCTCAGTTCAGCAGCAGTACACTAAAATATAAAATTGATGAGGGACCACAAATTATCTTAAAAATGGAAAACTCTAGATGAAAAAACTTTTATATCAGAAAAAATGTCCATCTTAAAGTAACACAAAGATATACAGTTTCATGCTAAACAGTATTTTGAAACGAGGAAAAATGATTCTGAAGTTTATAATCCAAGAATTTTCTGAGAATATTTAGGAAAGAAAAAATGATCAGTGGGAATTTTCCTTATGGACATTTGTTAATATTGGAATAATCATTATAGTAACTCAAAAGTAGAAGGTAAATAGCACAAAATAGACACTAGAAAAAGAAAAATATTCAGTTAAATCAGAAATTTTAGGTGAAATGGTAAATTAATAAATGTATGTTCAACTGGCCACCTTTTAGAAGATAGATCGCTATTTCACATCTTAAAAATAAATTACAAATGAATTAAAAATCCAAGAGTAAAAAATATATCTAAAACCAGTAGACTAGAAAATGAAGGCCATCTTCTGCGACAAAGCAGGCCCCACGAGAGTCCTGGTGTGGGGCCTGGCTGCTCGATGTTCCCAGCACGCTGCTACTGTGCGTGCAAGACACGGACTGGGAGAACACGGAGCCCCAAGTCCACCCGCAAATGGAAGATCTGTTATTCTGTCCATCAAACAGATAAATAAATCTTAAAAAAAAAAAAAGAAGATAGAAATTAAAGCAAGAAAGAGAAGGAAGTGAGTTGAGATTCACTTCATAAAACTGAAAAGCACTCACCTCACAAAGGGTAGACTGAGGGGTGTTTGTAGTACTTAGTGTGGGCTGAGGGGTGTTTGTAGTACTTAGTGTGAACTGAGGGGGTGTTTGTGGTACTTAGCCCTGAGCCTAGCATTCTGGGAGTGGACTGAGGCGTGTTTGTGGTACTTAGCCCTGAGCCTAGGCATTCTGGGAGTGGACTGGCAGGAAGATGCAGAAGGTTCCCAGACCTGCCTCCATCAGAGCCTCCTTTACCACTCCAGGAGGGCTTGGTGTGCTGATTACTAGGAAAGAAAATGCAAGTAGACCTCAGAAAGTTTCATAGAGAATGGAACTGAGGGTCCTGCTTGCTTGGCTTCCTGCCACCCACATGGGAAACTCAGGTGGACTTCTGGCTCCTGGCCTCACCTGGCCCAAACCTGGCCATAGTGATCCTTTAGGAGTAAAGCAATGGATGGGCAATCTCTTTTTGACTCTTTTTCTTTCTCTGTGGCTCTGTCTTTCAAATAAATAAGTAAATTTTTAAAAGAAAGAAAAATTAAACTGACTCCAACTTGGTGTTAGTATGTAAATCTATTAAAACAAATATCTCACTTCTTCCATAAGTAGTTTGGCATACCCTGCATTGTTCTTTGGTGGTTATAATGTGATTACTCATACTAACGCTTGTAACAGAAAGATGTCTGATTTGCTCTCTTGTTTTATTCTAGCGAAGAATAGCCAGAATTCAACAAATAGATAAAGACATACTCCGTATACGACAGCTTTTACAGTCCCAAACAACGGAAGCAGAGGTTAGTGCATGGCTTTTTTTTGTTTGTGGATATAAATAAAGGTGTTTAGAAAAGAAGATGTGTATAATTCACGTAGCATTATAACTTTAAGGCAGTTAAAATTTATTAGAGCCATGAGCATAGATAACATGTCAACTACCTGCTTACATATAACCAGTAAATAATTTTGCTGTCATCAGCCAGTAAGTAAGCTTTTCCCATGGCGAGAGCTGAGTATATGCACCTCCCAGTGCATACTCCATAAATTCCATGAAATGGCCTAGAAAACAGAAAAGGTGCAAAGATGAGGGTTAGTGAGAACCGGAAGGCTCGGAGCAGGAAGACTAGGAACCGCGTGGCGACTGTTCAGTGCGTCTTCCCGCGTCAGCAGCAGAAGTCCTGAGGAGCTCCAGTGTGGAGCTCTAGAAAGTTCCAGAACTGGCTCCGTGATTGACCTCAAGAGCTGAGGATGAAAGCGGAACTGTGACTGACAGTTGCTCAGGACACAGATGGAGGTCAAGCCTCTGCACACAGATTTAAATTGCAGGATTTGCCAACAAAGCAGCCGACATGGACCATCCTAACTAGAGCAGATAGAATGTCTCAGGCCTAGAGCTGTGTCCCTTCCATAGTCAGGCCACTCTGAAATACAGACAAACACTAACAGCCACCATATGTTCCAGGAAAGTTTCCAACAAGAAGGAGCATAGAAATAGATTAATTCTTCTTAAAGGAAAAAAATTCCAAAAATGAGGATTTTCAGTAAGAAACAATATTATATTCATAAAGAAAGAAAAGTATGGTATACAAAAGAATATTTTTATAATAACTAGAGAGTTGATGGGAGTTAAAAATTGTAATAATAGAAATGAAAAACCCAATAGAAAGGTTATCAAAGTAAAGCCAGATAATCAGAAAGTACAATCAGGGATGGATGCCTGGCACTGCAGGTGGGATAGCTCTGGTGTGCGGCATGCGGTACACGTGGCGGCTGAGAGCCTGGATCCAGCCACACACCTGCTCTCCTGGCCTGGATCCAGCCACACACCTGCTCTCCTGGCCTGGATCCTGCCACATACCTGCTCTCCTGGCCTGGATCCTGCCACACACCTGCTCTCCTGGCCTGGATCCTGCCACATACCTGCTCTCCTGGCCTGGATCCTGCCACATACCTGCTCTCCTGGCTTGGATCCAGCCACACACCTGCTCTCCTGGCTTGGATCCAGCCACACACCTGCTCTCTTGGCCTGGATCCTGCCACACACCTGCTCTCCTGGCCTGGATCCAGCCACACACCTGCTCTCCTGGCTTGGATCCAGCCACACACCTGCTCTCCTGGCTTGGAGCCTCAGCCGTCTCAGGCACCGGGAGAGCGGATCAGTGAGTGTCTCTGTTTTTTTCAAATCATAAAATAAATAAATTTGGGGATAGCGGGCTTTAAGGAGTAGTGGGCTGAACCAACCCTCAGATGCCCACATCTCATCTCAGAGGGCTGCTGTCGAGTCCCACCCTCGCTTCTGGTCCACCTTCTGGCCATTCGCCAGGGAAGCAGCAGACACAGGCTCAGCATCTTGGGCCCTGCCAGCCTCCGAGAGCTGCTGACCTTGGCCTTGCCCAGCTCTGGCTGCTGTGGACTTTTGAAGAATGAACTGGGAAATGAAGGATCTCTCTCTTCAAGTAAATAAATGAAAAACTTTAAGATAAAGACCCTAATAAACCACGTCTCATTTAAAAATGTTACTGTATTTTATTTAAAAGAGAGAAAACAGAAGTCATCCCATTTGTTCCAGGCAGAGAATGGGCAGAATAATGATGTCATCCTAGGAAATAAATTAAAAATTCCCTGACTTGAGAGCTTAGTGCTATGCTGCAATTTAAAGTAATCTCACACTACAGCACATCATGAAACAAAGAGAAAATCCTCAAACCCTCTAGAAAAGGAAAGGAAGAGAGATTTCATTGGAAGGAATAGATGCGTAGGAAGCCGCGGTGCCGCGTCCCTTTGACCCGCGCTCTGTTGATGTACGTGGGAAAGTCGTACCAGATGGCCCAGTCCTTGGGCCCGTGCCTCATGTGGGAGATCTCCAGGCTCCTGGCTTTGACTTGCTCCAGGCCCAGCCCTTGTGGCCATTTGGGCCATAAACCAGTAGATGGAAGATAGTTCTCGCCCTCTCTTTTTGTGGTCTTCCTATCAAATAAATAAATATTTTTAAAAAGAATTATAAGAATAGAAACAATGAAACATAGAGCTTTTTTCAGGTATGTTTCATACCAATACTTTTACGATACTAGTTATCCTTCAGTTCACAAATTCTGTATGTCCCAGGCCGCCTACTTTATGCATGGTGGGTGAAAGTGTTTGGAACGTTCCACAGCTTCCTTTACTAGATCATGTCACAGACTCACTGGACTCTGCTTGGGATTGTGGCTTCATGAAAGGGTGCAGACCAGGAAGAGCCAGTGATCCTCATGATCAAATCCAGAGAGGGCTGGGGGTGCGGCGTGCCAGCTGCCCGCCCGTAAGTGTGTCCAAGAACCAGCAAGCTCCACTGAGCACTGACAACCAGAGTTCTCCTTGGCGTCCCGCTCTGTAGACATTACCCACATGACTGAACCAAGTGTTCAGCATTCTGCTCCCTGGAGCTGAGTCTGAGCCTCTGATCACATGGTGACAGGCACCCAGCCTGAGATGCCTTAGTAGTATAAAAAACACTTGTGTCACTCAAGAAGTTTAGAAGGTTTGTCAGGTTTCTCACTACATCACACCAGGCTCTAGATTTGTCTCTGATAAAACTGCTCAGCCTGAGAGTCAGAGGAGCAGGTGTTTGGTGTGTAAGACAGCCACAGCCCACAGCAGCGTGCTTGGGGTTGGTTCCTGGCTCCAGCTCCTGTTAATGCAGTGCATGGGAGAGATCTCTCCCTTTTCTCCATTCTCATCTTCCCTACTCTCCCCTTTCCTCTTCCCTCCCCTCTTCTTTTACCTTTTTGTTTTATATTTCTGTCTGAGGGAAAAAACAAAGGGAGAAAGAATATGCAGTTCCACCTACTGGTTCATATCCAGTATCCGTGTTGGCTAAGGCATAATGGATAGATAGGGAGCTGGCTATGTGGCAGGACCCAAAGGCCTGAGCCATCACTACTGCCCCTCAGGGGCTGCATTACCAAGACGCTGCTGCAGTCAGAGTGATGAAGGTGGCTGTTGAAGCCAGGCACTGCTGATTTTGAGATGCTGTTGTCCTGGCTGGCATGTTAGCCACTAGACTGAATGGTCTGCATCCACTGTATTTTTAATTTCCAGAGCAGGCAGTAAGTTGGCATGTTTGATGCCCAAATTTCCTCTTGGAGTGCGTCTGTCCAGTCCTGGCTTCTCCACTTGCAGCCAGTCCACTCTGGGAGGTAGCAGGCAGTTGTTAGGTATTTGAGTCTCTTCCACTCACATGGGAGACCTGCTAGCACACATTCTAGGCATTCTGACCCGGTCCCACTGTCCAGGCACTCGGGGAGTGAACCAGTTGATGGAAGAGCTGTCAGTCTTCTACCTTTCAATAAATTAAGCAATTTTTAATTGGAGTTTTTTTCATATACACAATTTTTAAATTGGGCTATACTATATCTTGTATTTTATCTTGATATTTTTTGCTTTGAGTTTTTTTTTTCTAGCTTCTTTATAGTTTCTACTACTTTTCTCTATTCTATTGTTTCTGTATCTGGTAGGTTTTAATGTTTCCAAAACAGTATTCATATTTATTTAAATAAACTAAGAATTTTATTTGTATTTGCATAGCCCTCTCCAGGCATGTGTTTGTCACAGCAGTTAGAGGCTGGTTGGAATGCCTACATTCCAGGCTAGTCCGACTGCCTCAGTTCCATTGCCAGGAAATGGACACACGAGAGGCAGCAGGGAGACCTCGCTCAGGTACTTGGGTTCTGGCATCTGGCTATCTGTCTCTCCTCTGTTCAAATAAAATGATAATAAATAATGTTTATTAATGAGGTGAATAAAGTAGCCTTCCACTTAATAACTTGAACTTGCCCCTTGACCGTCACTTTGTTCCTCTTCATCTTGCTGTTAATACAGCTTTCTTTTCATTTTTGTCCAACGTATTTTTTTTCTCTGCCTTTATTTCCAATTTCACCAGCATTTTGGCCACTAGAAATTCTTAACAACTTGTCACATGTTAATAGTAATCCTCATTTCTGGTTTATTTCAACTTGGGGGTTGACTTGTGTTTTTTGTTACATTTGATCTAATATTTTAGTAAACATCAATGAACTAAAGGAAGTTGACATTTACTCCATGCAATGTCATGATATACTTAAGGAAGAACCCAAACACGTTGTTTTACTTTACTGTTTAGTTTTTTTATTCCTTTACTGTCCTCCTCCTAATGTCGAATCAAGGGGAGGCATGAAGATGGACAAGAGCAGAGACCGAGCACTCACAAGTTAGATGGTGGGATCTTTCTCCTTTGTGGGACTCACTGCTGATGGTGTGTGTCCCTGCTGCTCACAGCGGGTTCAGGGCTGCTGGTAGTTCAGAACTCAGAAACTGCAGAAGGGCCTGAGAGCAGGGCACCCAGTGCTCCGACTTTTCCTATTACATCCCTTGACACACTTTTCAAGCAGCTGCTTTGTAAGGAGCAAGAAATGAAAGCAATGGGAGCTGGGTGCAGGCTCATGTGTCTTAAGAGTCTAGTACCTCAATGAAGAACAGCGGAGAAGCAAGATACCTTACCGTGCAAAGTGAGAATACATGCTAGCGAAGGAACATAGGCGTGCACTGCTCCGAGTTCCAGGTCCATCCCTCTGTGGGACTTGAGGCAGGGCCTACATGTGTGTTCAGTTAGGGTCTGGGGTCATGGGCGGTGTCTGAGGCAGGGCCTACGTGTGCACTCAGGGTCTGGGGTCAGGCTGTGTCTGAGGCAGGGCCTAAGTGTATGTTCAGTTAGGGTTTGGGGCCTGAGCAACACCCTTCTTGTCCTTTTTTGGAAAATTCAGAATTGTGGTTTGCGGTACTTGAT